GGGCACTTTATTCTTTGATGTACTTTACCACCGCAGAAGAAACAACGTTTTATTGATATCTGTGGCGGCGGGACTGCAGCGTTTTGTTGAAGCGGTATGAAGGGTGCTGGTAATTCTTGTGGAATTGGCATTGGCAAAGCATTCATAGTATTTTGGACACTCATACTCATAGTTACAGAGTCCTTTTCAGCAGTTTCGAGAGTGACAGCCTGATTATAAACTTCGTCCAAAAACATAATTTGTTTTTCTAATAATCGTTCCCGAACTTTAGGTGACAGAATACCAGCTATAAAGGCGGTTCGTATAGCTTGGTCTCTGTGTTCTTCAATTGAGACTGCCTGGAAGTTACACTGTTGTGCAAGGATATGCAAAGCTCGGCTGTAATCTGAAATACTTTCACTTTGCTTTTGTTTCCGTGTTCCGAGGATGTGGCGGGATAAGATTTCATGTTGAGGTTTAACGTACGTTTTATTCAAAATATTAATGGCGTCCCTGTAGCTTTGACAGTCCTTGATTTGAATGAATATACTGGTTGTCAAGTAGTTCGATAATAATTTTAATTTTATGGAATCCGTTACGTCACCAGAATCAGGGGCATGTTCAGTTAGGAAGTTTGTAAATGTACGCAGCCAATGCACCCACTTATCCCCAGCAGCGGGATCCGTGGGTTCAACATCAAACCTTTCAGGGCGTAAATATCTTGCTAGAGAATGTGATAAAGATTCGTTAGAGTCATTCTTCGAGTTCGTCATTATCACTAGTTAATTAAATTGATACATGGAAACGAAATACCAATAGAAACTTGGCTTAGAGACGCCAGATTAATAGTATGCTTATACGGACGTTGCTGTTTGAAAGCGGAATTATTAAGATTAGTGATGCAACGGAAGTGTTGTAACGGAGACGGAATCAGATGTCAAAAGTAAATAACAGACAATTGAATGAATGTCTAACAGATACTTAGCGCCACTTCCTATATCTGAAGAAGATTCACTCTCTGATAGTACAGTTGCTGATGAACAGTCAGAAGGTACATTGCTAGACGGAAGTACTTCTAATGAACCTAATGAAGTGTCTAATCACGAATAAGACGTCTATGGAACTCTCCTGCAAGACGTTCGGCCTCTGGATGCTCTTCGGAGATCTACGAGGTCTAGGAGAATTCCACAACGCCTCAATGACTACATACTCGGCGAAGAAACCATAGAGGGGGAGAATGACATATAATCTCCTTTGTGCTTCCTAAATAATCAGTATGTGTTGTCTGTGATCGTTGAAGTGTATCTGTCATACAAATATTTTTAAATCTATGTATTGTACGTGTGCTCGTTTCTAGTTAATTAAAGCCAAGTTTCTATTAGTATTTCGTTTCCATGTATCAATATGTAAGTTTCAAACAGAAAAAAGGATTGAAACATAATTGGAGTGATAATCGTGCCTACAATAATAGAAAACAATTAAATTTGAAAGTCGCAAATTTATCACATACCCCAACAAATTTTCTATTCACTTATGAGCAATCAAAAAATTTTTACGTATTTTTATTATTTTTTTATCAAATTTCCTATTCACCGCGTTGATTTGCAATAGGAATCCAGAAATGTGATACTTTACAATAGACCTTCTGCCTCGGGGTGTAAGTGCACCCTCAGGTTTTGTGGTAAGGTTACCCCGACCCCAGTCTACGGTGCGACGACGGGGGAAGACGGGCGTACTGCTTCCTTCGTCTCCCCGGCCGCCGTGTTCGAAGCGCGTCAACGAGGGGGCAGTCCTCTCTGAGCCGTTCTGATGCTTACTTCTGCGAAATTACGCTCTTGTAAAAGGATACCATTGCCGCAGCCGAGTATTGCGCCCACGATAGTTAGCAGCGAGAGATCTCCCACTATGGCAGTCAGGGAGTGCCGCTGAGTGCCCCAAGCTGCACACTCGACCAAATCTATCTACCTACACTAAGTGGAAATAGAGTTGATGATCTTTAAACAGCTTTTTTATGATACCAAGTTGTGGGACGAACAATTCGGGCGCCCAGTGTTAAGCGACACGCTTGGCCACAGTAGCAGCAGCACAAAGATCGAAGGGACACTGCCACAGCGCCCGTCATCCTGAGACATAAAATGACAAGTCCCATGTGCCTGTAATTTCACCAGCACCCTTACCCTTCAAAACCGGAACACAGTAATGCTGACATTACTGCTTGGCGGCAGAAATAGGTAAGTTGGCAGTACTTCCTTGGACGAATTCTTTCACAAGGAGTTCTACTGCTACTAAAGAGCTCTACAGCTCCTAGGAACTCTACTGTTACTACTAAACAGATGTTCATCGAATATAATATAAAACCCTTGAAGATCAGTCCAGCTGTTTGGAAGTTAAGATGCCACGGATACACATGCAAAGGCTTGAAATTTATAACTCCTCTCTTTTTGCGTCTTGGGTTTATAAAATAACAACTATCATTCTGAAAAACTAGTTTATTATCACTTAGGTATGTACAATTTTTTTTGCTAACTTAACTTACAATCACATTATTTGGTATTTCATTATGTCTAATGCTTACATCATCAACAACAATGGGATGGCACTGGATAAGTACCACATTTGATTCTCAGTTCTTACAAAAAAATATTCATTTTTATGTACATATACTCAATGATCTTAATTAGTGATGCAACAGATCTCTGCTTCTGCTTCCGCAACTGCGGAAATTCCGCACGCTTTTTCACATTTGTTTACACTTCTGCTTCAGCAACTTTTATAAGGGAAATTTTATTTAAAAAAAAATTAAAACTGTTTATTTCAAATATTAATACAAGTTACAGTGCGTGCAAGGTAGAATCTTAAAATTAAAAATTATTTATCCTTTTCTAGTGAGTTGCGTTAATATGTAAGGTACAACAATTAAATTAATGACCAGTTTGCGTATGCCTCTTCTTATCTTTCATGTAAAATCTTTTCGGAAGTTTATAATTTATCATTGCTTAATGGTGGGGCGCGTGGGTCTTGGCAGTTTTGTATTGTGTCCAAACCGAACACTAGCCCTGCTCGGAACTATTTCATTGAGATCTTTATAGTATTTACACTTCCGCTTCTGCAACCGCTACCGTTTCTGCTAAGATTTACTTTTGATATCTGATTCCGTTTCTGTTTCCGTTATAACACTTCCGTTGCATCACTAATCTTAATAATTCAGCATAAATAGTGAACATCAATTTGGTTCTTCCGCAATTTGGATTAAGAGCATCGTAGCGACATCTCTTTAAAATCGTTTAAACTAATTTGTTTCTCTGTTTTATTAACTGGGAGACTATAGCGACTCTAGATTATGCGTTAAGATAAGTCTCTCTTTCGCTGGTGTTCCTCTTATTCCACCTGACCCTATATAAAATTGATTATACCCAAAATACCGTCGGTATTGGAGCAATCATATAATATTACTAATTTTGCTATAAATGTTCATTTCCATATTTATATGTTCCGTATATCATAGAACTTTACATCCTCGCTAAATGTCATAAGTTAAAGTCCTGTCTGCCGGTTTCAAAGTACGTCTTAGAGTTTTTCGCTGTGAAGATGTACGGAGCTTCTCGTGTGGGGCAGCGGAATGAGCGTAGAAGTACTGGTGGCACGTTTTCGGATTTATTGCCTACTGGCTCTAGGAGGTTGTTCCACAGGAGGTTTGCAGCTGAAATTGTCAAAAAAGAACCATAATAACTTCATGAGTTGCAGACAGATGCGCTGACGGCGAAATAAGCCAATAACACCCAATACAAATATCTGTAACAAATACATCGTGAAATTCTTAAAATCTGCTAACTAGGTTTGTAGTACAGCTGATTAATTAAATTTGTATCAATAAAAATAAAAAAACACGTGGAGCACTTTCACAAAAAAAGTGGAAATGTGACTGTAAAACAACATAATTTTAATAAATAAATATTGTACCATAAATAAATCGCAATAAAAATAAATATTCAAAAACGAAGCGAGCATCTCCCTACTTCTTCTCCTTATTGTATCGATGGCAAACAGTATAACGCTGGTCATCATGGTAAGGATTTATTTGCCAATCGGCGTAGGGTTACTTCCCGATTGTTGCCCACGGTACGCCAAGGATAGGATGGTACGTCGTGCGGGGTGACTCCTAACGTGCACTCCCACAGATCTTTCGTTTACTATTTAAAAAGATACTAAAAACAAGATATAGTTCGATATAGAGTGTACGAAAGGAGCCTCCCCGCAACGACGTATCGTATTTCCAGTACGTCTCTTGCAACCCGAAATCCTTTCACCACACGGTAAAAACAGATTACTTAGAAACAGACAAAATTCTTTTTATGATGACAAATTTATTAAATCCAACAAAACGATCCTCTCCCTATAGACGCTAGAGAATAATTACTTGATAATAGTAAAAAAAAAAACGTCTCAAAAGTGTATTTTAGTTATAAGACAGAAATATTTAATCCAAGAGCAAATTAATTTACTTCAAGTCACAAAGCCACTCTAGATTCAACAAAATATTTATTAGTTATTAGAAATGTCCGATTTTGACTTGAAAAAAAAAAGAATGAAAAATTGAGAGGTACTTAATTTTTTCACTGAAGATTTATGTTTTCTAATATGAAAAAGGGTAAATTTACAGGGTTATGGACCCCACAGTATGTCTCATGGGTGTGAAAACACACAGTTCCGGGTCAAACCTTAAAGTAGCAGAAATAGGACGAAATTTTCCCCAATACTTGAGTACCGTTCAGTGCCGTATAAATGCTTCAGCGGTAGAAGCGCTAACAATCCAAAATGTATGAGATGACTTATACTATTGAAGTTAACAAAACGATAGCGCGTTTCAGAGTACAACTAATGCCATCTAGCAGTAGCGTGTTGGAATTAATTGCATGTTAAAGTTGTGCTTGTTACAAGTCGTCGCTTAAATGCTAAACGGCTGCATGTCAAAAGTTCACTTTTTTACAGGAGAGGCGATCAAAGCTTTCGACCTCATTTCTTAACATTTTAATATTGTTTTATTTTTAAATACCCTTGTATTTATATTCAAAAGATGCGTATTTTAAGGCTCAATAAATTTGTAAACACAGACACAACTCATAAAAGGACTGTTTAGCTCAAAAGTTAGCCTCGAGAGCGCAGAATGCCAAACAGGCATTTGCGTAATTCCGTTATTTATAATGCCAAATTGCTAGGTGTCTTCGTGTAGTATTTAAGTTTGACCGTTTTTAAACACATTTTTGCAATAAAAAAAATTTTGAAATTGTTAAGATGCGGCGGTTTTGCATTAAAGCGACGAAGTGTAGTTTGATTTCATGGTGAAACCAAATTTCTTAAATTATGACTACAAATAACACACTAACAAACTAGAGATACTACGTATTGTTTCTTTGGATAAATGACTGTTTATTGCTGTGTATTATTTTTATGATTACAAGCACAAGTAAAAGTAATCGCTATCGCGTGCGCCTTCGGCGACATGTCACGCCAGCATTGATTATGAAAACGCAACGAAATGTTGCTTTAAAAATATACTCTAGAATTTAGAATATTAATCTGAATAGCAACCTACTTCTTATTTTGTTTAAGAATATATTTTCTTAAAATACACCCAAGAAATTTTCGAATCCATTTAAGATTATTTAAATTTGATGTAAGAGGTAAAAATTTCTTGATGTAAGTAATGTCCAATTAATTGATTAGAAATGAAATAAAATCTTGAAGTGAACGTATTTGTCTAAAAGTTAGAATAAAGTTACGAGTAAAATTGTATTAGAAAAAGATAAGCAGTATTTTTGTAATGACAATATTTTATTACTTTTAATAAATATTTTTTCAGAATTAGCAAATATTTTGAGAAATTGCTCTTTCTTATTAGCAGAAATCCTTTTTTTCTGTGGCACGATGGCAAGCATGGGACATCCCATGCACAATTCAACATGGCGGCTACTACGGCTAAGTTTTGGGCCTAGATAGTATACAGTATGCCATCGATATCTAATAAAAGAATATTCTATATGATTATGAATACAAAGATCGAACACACAAAAAATTGTTCTCCGTCGACTCGGTGGGACTCGAACCCACGTCCATGCTGCACCGTAGAATTACTCTTACAAACTGAGCTACGGGTAAAGTTACCGAGCCGTCGAAATTCTCCTATGTGTTTTTGTTATAGATCTTTGTACTGGCTTTCGGAATTCGTCGCCGCTAATCACATCTAGAGAGAGTTTTTTTAATTACCTCACCGCAGTCGATACCTTTACAGGTATTACAACTGACGCAGATGTCGCTTTTCGATCAAATGTATTTATTGAGATTTTTTGTGAAATAACTCCACTAGTTTTGTTACGATTATGACATTATGATATTATTATTTATAATAATAATTAATATTCTATACGTTAAAAAATAAATATGTAGGCTATAACATCGATTTACTGTTTAGGATTTATAATTATATTTACCATTTTTAAAAATCTATTTTGAAAAGGCCTAAAACGTTCGGGCTTATATGTCGGCCTCGTAATTTATGTATATAACCACTTATCCTGTTTTATGCTGTCACTACTCCCACGAGAGTTATTGCTCCTTATCAGAAAGCAAGACCCCACATAGGAGTATAGATTTTCAGCACTGCGTCACCGGGACGCTCATACCTGACAATGTATTTTAATTAAGATAGGGTTCAGCAGCCTGCATATTGGTTACATTACATTAAATCAAGCATGTCTACCAACTTGTTACAGAATACGATTGTTTTATACAACAAGTTGACAGAGACACTTTGTACAAAGATTATATTTAACTGACTAACAACAATATTAAAAGGTAATCACAACCAAACGTTTTTTAGTTTAACAGACACAACACTCACCTAGGGCATGTCCCTTCTGCGAGAAATGGAAACAGTCATGCGTGATGTAGGACTGATGGATTACGAGGGGCAGTGGAAGCTTCGGCGGGAACGGTGCGTTGAACAAACGCATGAAGGGCTGCACCACTACCGTGAAATCCTCTTTGGTGTCATATCGACCGCTATCTATCTGTAACGGTTTGTAACGATTAGTTGTGGACAGGTCGCGAAATATTCCTGTAACTATGCAGGTAAATTGGAACCCAATTTTAAGACATTTCACACAAATTCTGTAAAGAGACTCAGATTAGAAGTTCAGAAAAACTTTTGAAAATCTTTGGTATTTCATAGTCTCAGTGCGAAGAAACAAAATTTTAATAGCAGTATAGATTTTTCTTTAATATCATATCAAGTGACGGGACGTACAAGTCTTGTCGCGTTAAATCGCAAAGATCTGAGGGGCACTGACTGAGACATAAGTTGACAAGTCTCATGTGCCTGTAATTTCACCAGCACCCTTAATCTACGTGACCGGAACACAGTAACGCTGACATTACTGCCTGGCGGCAAAAATAGGTAAGTTGGCTACCCTGGACGAACTCTTTCTCAAGGAACACTACTGCTGCTTAAAGATCCTTGTGTGTAAAGTAATGTGTGCGTTACTGCGTTTCGGTTCTGAAGGGTATGGGTGCTGGTAAAATTACAGGCACATAGGACTTTTCAACTGATGTCTCTGGGTGACGGGCGAAGTGGCAGTACCTCTCAGATCATTGTGTTTTAAAGCTCAGGTGGCACTGCAACTGTTATGGACAGGCGTGTCGCTTACCATCAGGTGCTCACTTGTGCGACCCAAGTCACTTCGTATCGTAAAAAAAACATAAACCAAGCGCGTTTGAAAATGTTTAATAGGATACACAATTATTATTAACTATATTATTATTATTATAACTTGTGTTGAAGTCTCTTAATCAGATTTTACAATACTTACTTTCACGCTTAATGCAAGAACAGTTTGAGTTAGAAACAAGTGATACGTCCTCAACACCCTAACTAAATTCTTCTCTCCAACCAGAAGGTGAGAGGTGGAGGAATTCTAGTTCCTAGTTCATTAAGAAGAGGTACATTTCGCCTAACATATATTCACTTTTGCACTACTTCCAACCCTAACCCCATCGAGCTGATTCGGAATTTCCGTGTCCATCTATCTGTTACAGTTTAATTTAGTTGAACTGCCCCGTGGCCGAACGACTACCATGCCGGACTGCCACACAGAGGTCCCAGGTTTAGATTCCAGTATTTCCAGTCCAGGTTTAGTGCCGGGATAAATATTTGTATGGCCTACATTTATTTCTTTTGAGTTTGGGTGTAATTTGTGGTTGTCTATGTGTGTCTCCATGAAGGTTTCCCTAGTGCGGGGCTATGTTGAGCGTGTGCGTTATTATTATTATTATCAAGTAATATCAAATGTTTACCAGCATGAACTCAGCCTTCTGGTATAGCCTGGCCATGCGTACGAGGTCCTCGAGTTCGTTGCCGTCGCGGTGAAAGCACGTGCAGAACAGCGAGTGCATCATCCGGCACATGAATGGCCGCTGAACGCGTACCGACACTGACACGTCTGGAAATCAATACTTTCAAAGTGTATCCTAGATAATAATCAACTATACCTAAATGTTTATCTAGCAGTATAGTGGATACTGTATGTTTTGCAGTATAAGTAGCAGTAGAAACTCCTTGTGAAAGAGCTCGTCCAGGGAAGTACTGCCACCTTACCTATTTCTGCCGCCAAGCAGTGATCTTAATTATATAGTTAGCGTTACCGTGTTTAGGTTTTGAAGGGTAAGTGAAGGGTAACTAAGTAGTTTACAAATTACGATTTAAAGCTCCGAGTATCACTGCGACTGCTATAAACAGGCGTGTCGCTCAACACCAGCCTCATAAGTCATGAGTTCGTATCCTGTCTTGGTATCATAAAAAAGACGACGAGAGAAGACTTTTACTTTACCCATTTTTTAAGTGTAAGCTATATTTTATTTAGTTACTTATATATGTTGCAAAGTTGCCTGGTAGCAATTATTGTAAAGCAATAAAATTGCCTTGTAAATTCGTAAATAAATCAAATGACGTTATTCAGCTCTTGTCTTCCCGTGATAGGATTCCCAAAATGGAATGGAGCAATATATCAGAACAGGCAGCAGCGTCAGAATTTGTTAGTTAAAAAGTGTATAGTTAAAAAGTGACACACCTCTGTTTATAAGGGTGCTTTCAAATTAGACGCTTATAGAAGCGTTACTAATTTTCATGCAAAATTTAGTAGCGCAGTATCGTCGTGACACGCGCGCACAGCTTTTACAGTCACAATTAAGATTCGATACGACTTCAAATGGCTTTGGTTGATTCCGCATTAATAGGGAAAGTGTTGAATCAATAACTTTGGAAAAAATATATAGTAAAATTAAAAATATACTCTGATTATTACACGGTACGAAAACACGATTCGAAACAAAAATTTTCACGATAGAAAAAACATAAACTTACCTCGAAATTTTACAAGAAAACCGCTATATTCTACAGATATTTTAGGTAACCTATTACAAACTTTTGTTCGAATTTTCATTACACCGACAACCAAATTATAACGAAACCGTTCTTTCAGGATATGTTGGATGTTTATCGCAAAGACACGATTAGGTTCGATTAGGTTAGATTAGGTAAGGTTTAAAAGGAAAAAAAAACATTTTCCTCTCAAAATTACTTTCGAGGTTATAAAAATTCGAGCAAACGTTATTTCTGGAAAATGTCATTTCGGACTATTAATAGGTAACCGTATTTTACAAATTATACTTACTAATTAATATTTTTTAAATAAACTTTACTTTCGTCCTTTCCGCTCGACCCAAGCAAAATGAACCGTATTAGTTCGGGAAAAATTTTTTTCGTCGTATCGACTGTCAATGAACAATTACTAAAGCGCTACAGACGCGCGACTGCCGCGCCACAGTCACGCCACTACTACAGCGCTTCTACAAGGTTTTAATTTGAAAGCGCCCTTATTAGGATCTATGTAAATCGATGCGTAATTCCTCACCTAATACTGGCACCAAATTAATAATAGTCCTCGGCAGATGAGCCTGGAAGTAGTCCAAAGCCTTGGACAGTTTTCTGGCATGAGCGGCTGGCGACCAGGCTACGGGGGATAGGCAGGACGCTGAACACAGGTCGTTGGCGCCAATGAACACCGTTATCATCTTCCAATCGCTGCTGATGTCTATTTCTGGGGATGATTTCATGCGGGCTACCAGGATCTGCGGAAATATATCTAGGTTTAGATAACTAAAATTACTAAAATTATACGTAAGGTAATTTCTATATTTTGCAAGTTGCTATTATAGAAAATTCACAGAACTGTTTTCTTTTATTATACCAAATGAAGGCACGAACATCACATCGAACGACGAACACCGTGCGCCTGGTGGTAAGCGGCACGCCTATCCATAACAGTTGTAGTGCCACTCAGAGCTTTAAATCGCAAAGATCTTAGGGGCGCTGGAACTGTTCCCGTCACCCTGAGTCATAAGTTGACAAGTCCCATGTGCCTGTAATTTCACCAGCACCCTTACCGACGAACTCTTTCACAAGGTGTTCCACTAAAACTGTTTGAGAATTTGTAAATCCCCTTACCCAAATTGAAGTTTGATTAAAGTATATAGATTTTAAGGCTTTCGTGGATATTCACTAAATGATTATCTCTAATTACGGGATGGTCACGGGTTAACTGGCCAGTAGCGGATGAACCCGTGACCATGGAACGTGTAACCGTACCGAAATATTGGGGAAAAAATTCATATCGTGGTAAAAAAACCTGTATTTAATGATAATCATTGATTGATAAATCCTTTAAGAAGAGGAAATAAGGCATACCTACTGATTTAGACTAAATTGTTTTGCTATAGAGGCCGTGGCTTTGTATGACAATGTAAAAAGTCTTATTATCCTCTGCAGTTTGTACTGTCGAAGCAAAGCGACCTTAACGATCGTGCTGTTACAACAGAACAACAAAAAGTAGGACAATATGTAAGAAACAATAATCCAAATCATTAAGTTAAACATTACCACGTATTTTCACACCACTATGTAGGTATTGTCTTCACTATTGTTGGCGTCGTGAATTCGTGAGATTATATGTTTTATTGCTTACTGTTATTCCAAATATAATGTTGTTATGTTTATGTTTATGAATGTTAACAAACTCTAATTTGTTAAGGTACACTATATGTATAGTAATAAAACAACTATACAGGACGTGTCAAGCCGTGAGAGACGGAAGGACACTTTAATTACTGTAGATAGGATATTTTGCTTCATGGAAACAGTGGTTTATTTTTAAAGAAAGTAATATTGCATTCAAAGCCTTTTAAAAAGTTGCTTGATTTTGGGAGTCGTAACGACCGACAAAAGTGAAAAATAATCTCAGTGCAGAGTACTAAAAAACCGACCTCAAAAGTTCGTGGAATTACATCTACTTGCCATGTTTTATTGAAATCAGTTAGCGGAAAGTGCGCAAAACCGGATTAACACAGGAGATGATAAAAATCGATTCTCACTTCTAAAGTATATTGAGAAAAACGCCGTTAATTGGAGCATAACAAAATCAACCATTAAAATAATTTCTCCTTATAAAATTTAGGCGCTACTTATATAAATAAGTCTTCATGCGTGAGCAGCAACTCTTAGAGGTGGAATATTTTCTTCAAAATTAAATGGGACCACTACTGAGGTGGCCTCTTTCCAACAAATAAAGAATTATCAAAATCGGTTCTCAAATGAAGCGTAACATACATACAAAAAAATAATACAGTCGAATTGAGAACCTCCTCCTTTTTTTGAAGTCGGTTAAAAAACATTTCACTGTATTAACCAACCGTATTTTGCTGTACGCTGTAGCGTCATCTGTAAGAGCAGCAGAGCATCTGGCACGGATTACCTGAGGGTGCTGGTTGCAATCCAGCCGGATCGAATAAATTTTTCTTATTATTTCGGTCTTTGTTATAATAAACTAAGTAGTAGAGTAATTTCACAAAAAAGTTATGCAATATCATGGTAGTAAAATATTGTGACATTCAATAAAGTTAATAAAATCAGTACAGAGTACTAAAAAAAACCGACCTCAAATGTACGTGGAATTACGTCTATTTGCTAAGTTTTATTGAAATATCCTTTAATTCGCCAATATACAGGACTTGACACTGGGGATAATAATAATCGGTTCTCACTACTCAAAGTATATTGCGAGAAAAACGCCTTGAATTGGAGAAATAGCAAAATCAACCATTAAAATAATTGCTCCTAAATTAAAGTTAAGCGCTATTTATAAAAAATGAATTTTCATGCGTGAACAGCCACCCTATAGGTGAATGATTTTCTTCAAAATGAAATGGGACCACTATGGAAGTACGTAAGCAAGTTTCCAATAAAAAAAAATCATGGAAATCGGTTCACAAATACCGGAGTTATCGCGTAACATACATACAAAAAAAATAACATACAGTCGAATTGAGAACCTCCTCCTTTTTTGAAGTCGGTTAAAAATTTAAATTTAGTCTGCCAATGTATTTACTTTTGTGATATTTGCATTTTTTATTATTGTTATGATACTGACTGGTGTTATCGACACGCATGTCCATAATAATAATAATAATGATAATACTTTATTTCGGACCAACAAGTTATCCATAGTTTGTTAGTAAAGAACTTAGGAATAAGGTTAGTATGATGCTATTCAAATGCTAAAATTACAATAAAATAAGATAATTTAAAAAAAATGAAAAAAAAAAATTATACAAATAAAATTCAAAAATAAACCACGAATTACAACATTAAATACAAAATTATAAATAAGTAAATAGCATAGCAGTTGCATTGCTACTCAGATCTTTCAATCGTCAAGACCAGTGACACTGCCATTGCGCCTGTCACCTGTTGAGGCATACGTTGACAAGTCTCATGTGCTGGCAATTTATCAAATGTTCAAAAAGCTATCCATCTTCTTATAAGTGAATTCTCAATCTTAGTAGATTTTAGAAACAATACTCTTTAATTGCGTTTTTAACTCGTCCACATTGTCACATTGCATACTTACTTACTTTTAAATACAAAATAATGTCTCCATGAAGCAAAATATCCTGTATACTATATTTAAAGTACTTTCTCTCCGTGTACCCCAGCTGTGGAACGGCCTGTATATACATTTGAATATTCATCGAAGGCCAGAAATGCAATACCTAAGTCTTTGCTGTTTCATTATATTTACTTATTTCTAAGAATTTAATTTTCTTAAAAGGTCATTCTAAATGCTGTGGATACAACCCTTCGGCGATTTATATTTCAAACTGAGTTATCAAATCGTATGAGTAATTCGAGAATAATAGCAATGTGTCACCTATAACCTATTAGGGCCACCAAAAAAGCTACTAATGTTCTTTTAAGTTTAGAAATTTCCTAACATGCTCGATACTCACTTGTCGGCAATGGAAAAGTAATAAGCCACGTCTTACGTTTAATTATTTAATAAGCATATTTTACTATAAGTATCATTTGCAAGACATTACATAAAACTTAATTTGAATAGGGGAGCTACTTTTTAACCACTCTTACATAAACTTGATTTTATTCTTGACGATTGTGCTTTAGTGAGTTGATACGAATTATTCCAATAACTTGTTTTTTGAAAATGAAAGTACTTAAGTAGATTACGAAAAAGGACAAGAATATTCGGAAATAATTATATAATTTTCAAATCACATAACTGTGAAACCAACCCGACCTGGAAATATAATATAGGGTAATTAAAAAATCGATTAACAACGGTAATTTATATTATGGACATTTTGTTTTTTAACTTGTAAAAGAACAGATAAGATCTGATCCATCTGTTAGTGGTGTGTGACCACACTAGGGCTGCAAGAGCGGCTAGGATTTGGAATTGAGGAGATTGGATGTAATGGAGACATAAATATTGTTCTTCGAGATCCTTTACGTAAGCATCCAAAGACATTTAAAAGGTACTATTACACAGTCTAAAAAATTTGAACAACACTTCACACAAGAACTATATAGTTTCAAAATTATACAAGACAACTAATACGGGTTTCAAAAAAATAAATCAACAGTACATGCGTCTTTTCACATAATCAGCAAGATTTTGCAAAATGTAAATAGAAAACTCTACACAACGGGTATATTTTTAGTCATGACGAGAGCCTTTGACTTAGTTGCACATGATATACTCCTGACTAAATTGGAGCATAATGGAATATGGGGGCCTGCGCTAAGCTGGTTAGAATCATATCTGAAAAATAGGTTACAATATGTAGAAATAACTCGACTTAACACTCAAAACTGTATTGAAATTTATAAATCCAACTTTGAATATAATAATTACGGAGTTCCCCAACGTAGTTTACTTGGTCTCCTGCTGTTTCTATTATACATTCAATTCTTTTTGCGGACGATGTATCCGTGGTTTCACTTCTCCAATATATTCAACATTGGAAGAACACAATAACGAATTATTAAAAACTTTGACATTGTTAATTGAATGGCTAAAAAATAATAATCTTCAAATAAATTTATCGAAGACTAATGTAATGAATTTTAATAATTTACGAAATCAAACAGTTACTATGAATTATAACGGACAAATTTTGCAGAACGCCACAAATGTGACATTTGTAGGATTAATTGTAGATTATAAGATGGACTGGAAACAACAAACAGAGAAAGTGTGCACTAAAATAAATAGATTTGCTTTTGCTCTGTATAAATTGACTAGAGTGGCAAATAAATGCACAGCAATGACAGCGTATCTTGCGTATGTAGAATCAGTACTCAGATACGCCTTATTATTTGGGGGAATGGCACAGACTTTGAGAAAGCTTTCATTGCTCAAAAGAGGTGTATACGAGTCATCTGCAACTTAGCACCAGATGTATCATGTCGCCCCCATTTTAAAACGTTAAAAATATTAACCCTGCCCTGTTTATACATACTCGAAGCTAGTATATTCGTAAAGACAAATCAACATAAATTTATACTCGCTAAAGACATGACTGCTAGAAGCTTAAGAAACCCCGATAAAGTACTACTAGGCACAATTCCTAAGACTAATCGCTTCCAAAACAACTGTTATGCAATGTATCGAAAGATTTTTAATAAGCTGCCGTGTCATATTAAATCACTTCTTTTGATTTGTTTCAAAAAAGAACTGCGCAAATGGCTCTTAGAAAAATCATTTTATTCGGTTGACGATTTTTTCAAATTTAAAGACAGATCCGTATCGATGCATACATTAATCGTGATTTTATTTTATCTAATGTATTAATGAATTTATATTATAATGTATTGTATTTTATTATTATATTTGCATGCTTTTGCCAAGGCTAAATAGGATTAAGTTCAGCAATTTAATTTTAACACAACATTTATAATGTTTCTACTCTATTTATAGCGAATAAATGAGACTTGATTTGATTTCTAAAATACCCAAAAATATTTATACTTACGTAACCTATTGCATTAAATCCAAAAATATCCCTAACTGACCACGCTGTTTGAGATAAACACCATATAGCATAGTGTTAAATACCATGTTAAAAATAAAATTTAAAAAAAATTGTAAAATAAAACAATACAGTTGTAACTGGTATCATACGAGTAAAACAACGTTGATTAGTCCTTGTTGGAAACGACAAGGCTTATAAAATGCGGATGTATATCAAACACGTTGTGTTACTTGCGTAAAGGCATCAAGGGATGCTGTTGTGTGAGATATATTAGGTATAAAATATAAGTTTGTAAAAATCTATGAACAATCGTTTAGATGGCTACATTTATTTTATATTAATAATACATTCTCCCATTTTTAGATTATAGGTTATAATAAACCATTTATAATTTATTACAAACACTAGACCTACATCTAAATTATAATATGCATCGACAAAAGTCAGATACAGGTATTATAAGTAAATAGGTAAAATAATCAGTACCTTGGCTTGTTTAAATGCATCCTCATCGGAAGCAACAGGGAAGGCCACGTTCAGCTTAGCGTTCTTGGTAAGCCACTCTCCTGTCCCAGTCGAAAACCCGCGTATGTTTGGGTTGTACACCTTTAGAATATTTGGCAGCGTCAGGAATTCACGCCACGTACCGTCTCCACCTGAGAATGACGACTATTAAGTTACTGTTGAAGACTACGATGTGGTAACATTTTATTGACTTAATTTTATCTCAATAAATAAAACCAGCTCTTTCCTTGATGATTTTTCAACAACGGAACATATAAAAGACGCAAATAAATATTATTATTTATGTATAGAATTTATTGTTATACAGGGTGGAAGAGAAAGTAGGAGTAGAGGCTAATGAGTGAGAGGAGAGTGAACCTAAGGACGTGTACGCACTGCGTCCAATCCGTAATCGAGAATACACTATACCCGACATCGCTTGTACATCTAGGGATTCAAAATCCTTCTTATTCCGGTACTGTGTTTCATGCAGTGTTTACGTCGTTCGTTAACCATGTGTCCTTTTAATCGCCGTCAACTTTCAGATTTGTTATTTTAATTACATACGAAAACACAGGGGAAATAATGAGTTGAGACTGGGTACATCTTCTCATGAACCGATAATAATCAAACTAAAGCAAGATACCAAGAAGTTTTATTAATACCGAATAAGAGTGTCAATTTTTGTATACATAATTATATTCATATACATCGATACCGGCTCCCTCCCTCTGCGCCGCAGCTTCCGCCGGTTTGGACTCGGATCGAACGCAGTGCAGAAGCGTTAATACACTTCGATCTGCGAATATAATGATCCAAATTGAAGTTATTCTCGACTTCGGAAGACGGAATTCGTATTTCGATTCGTATTTCGTCGTATAAATGGCACTACAACTATTTCAACCGTCATTTCTCGGATTCGAACGAATCGGATGCAGTGCGCATAACGATAGTCTTCGGAAGATCTTAGAGATATTCTCTTAGAAGAATCTATTAGAAGATATCCTCTTACCGGCACACCAAGAAACTCCCCGATACTCTACAAAGGCACCTAAAGCAAACTCTTCCAACGCTCCGCTTCCTGCGACCAACGAATCTCCAATAGCCGCTACCACATCGATGTCCCCTGGTCTCAGCCTGTGTACTGAAGCCGGTCGTTCTCTGCTGCGGCCCCAAGGAACTGTGTCTTGACAGTAGAAGGGTGTGGACGGGGGTATAGCTCGTTGACGACGAACGTGGGATTTGCGGATTGGATAACGGAGACCCTAGAAAGAAAGTATAAGTGAATAACATGTTTAAAAACAGTGGACGTAGGCGACGTATTTATTCATAAGTGTAAATAGAAATCATAAATTACGAGTAAACAAATAAATAAATAAATCTATTTATTTGTCGTAATGAATTTTTATTGTTATCAATGTTTGTTTGTCCAGCATGCATTCCATTATTATTAAACATGAGATTGAAATATATTTTTTGCAATTTGTTTTGCCCACGCCAGCAAAAGTTTCTGAAGTATTAAATCTCACTGCTGGTCTTCTCTAAGGAGGTTAAGGTAGAAGGTAGGTAGTTTTTGCATAGCTAAAAACAAACAGTTTTTTTTCAGTGACTTTTTTTTATTATACCAAGAGACGTGACGAGCAACTCGTGCGCCTGGTGGTAGGCGTCACGCCTGTCCATAGCAGTTGCCACTCAGAGCTTTAAATCGCAAAGATATGAGGCGCACTTCCACTGCGCCTGTCACCCTAAGGCATAAGTTGACAAGTCCCATGTACCTGTAATTTCATCAGCACCCTATCCTTCAAAACCGCACCCTTCAAAACCGGCGCGTAGTAATGCTCACATTACTGCTGGTGGCAGTAATAGGTAAGGCGGCAGTACTTCCTATGACGAACTCTTTCACGAAGAGCTCTAATGCTATTAAAAAATTCAGTGGCATTACAGCAAATTTTATGTAAATCCAGTTTACCACAGTCAGAATATAAAATTTAGAAATATATTTACATGACTGACTCAAGGGCAAGAAACTTAAGTTTATTTGAAAAAACTAGTATGTGCGATTTAAACCCAAAAATAATTTAATTTCCTATGTGTAACAAGCGAAAAAAGAACACTAAGAACTCGAAAATCGTAAATAAAAAGATTTACAATGAATTTCTTAGCAAAATCAAGGTTTAATTTACGGCCAAAGTATCCCAAAACATCACAACACCTTTTTGTACCGACAAAGCAAATAATGTCAGTATATATAAATTGTAATTGTGTGCAAATGTCCATACACACATGAATAATATCATCACTCATTGTCATTACGTAAGCTATATGGTGATAAACCACGATAACGATGGGTCTGTTAGCAAACTCTTGCATCAGGGTTATCAGGGAATCAACTAATTGATTGGCTACACAACATGTGAAAGTACAGAAGCTTTTGCCTAGAGGTTTTATTCTTTTTGTAACTACCGACAATGTTTCGCAAGACTGATAACATCGGGTTTCACGATGGTTTAATGGTTTATTTTATAGTACCTATTAAAACAGGCAAACAATCAGGCTGTCCACTAATGAAAAGCGG